GTCTAGAGAAGGGCAGACTTAGAGGGGATCTCAATGCATTTAAGTATCTCCGAGGCGGGTGCCAAGAGGACGGTGCCAGGCTTTTTCCGGTGGTACCCTGCAACAGGACGAGAAGCAATGGCCATAAACTAAAACACAGAAAGTTCCACCTCAACATGAAGAAGGACTTCTTTATGCTGGGGGTGGTAGAGCACTCGAACAGGCTGCCCAGGGAGGTCATGGAGTCTCCGAGCTCTCTGGAGATATTCCAAGCCCACCTGGACGCGTCCCTGTGCGACCTCCCCGAGGTGACCCTGCCTTGGCAGGGACCTCCAGCGGTCCCTTCCAAGCCGGGAGGGCCCCGGGTGTCCCGGGAAGCGGCGCGGGGACACCTGTTGGCGCCGCCGCCGCCGTCACGCGGCGCTCAGCCGGGCGCGCGCGTCACGGGACCGGGCGCGCGTGCCGCCGCCGCCGCCGCCGTCACCTGCCCGCGCCCCGCGGGGGACACGGTGGGGGCAAGGGGGAGAGCCCCTGAGAAAGTGGGAGATGTTCCTCCCCGAGGCGGCCCCCGGTGAACGGTGGGAAAAAGGGGTGAAAGCAAACAGTCCCAGCTGGCGCGCCCTGCGGCTGCTCTGCCTGGGAACCACCGCTTAACTTTAGTCCTGACCGGGCTTCACCGCTCGCCACGCACGGCACGGCAGAGGGGAGCGTGTGGATTTCGCCGGGTAGGTGGGGAAGCGGCGGCGGCTGCGCCGGTGAAGTTTAAAAACAGAAAAAATAAATCCGAAAGCAGCGCGTGAGCAGAAATGAGAGATAAACGGAGCTTAATGGAGTGTGCTGGGGCGACACTGACCCCGCAGGTAACGTGGAACCCTCGAGAAAAGTTTGTACCACGGCGAAGCGATTAAAGAGCCAACCGGACAGCTAAAAAGGAATGGATCGTGAAATGTCACCATTTTTAATAAAAGCCTATTTATGATAGTGTTTCAAGTTCTTGGCATTATTAAATACCGTGCTAGGAACAGGTATAATGAATGATAAGAAGGAGAAGCTCAGTGGTGTTACCTGTCTGTTGAAAACACAACAGTACAGCTTAATTTAAGAGCAGCAGCATGGAAAATAAAGGGAATTGCCTAAACTCTTAAGGGTAGAAATACTGAAAATTTAGCTTTTACTACTTCATCAGCAACAAAAAACAATAAAGCAGGGAAATATAATAAGAAAATATATTTAATTTAGAACAGATGGCAGGAAGCTTTTTTTCCCCCTTGCATGGAACCACAACTGTGCAGAATGATCAGTGGGGAATTTTGGTAGGGTGAAAACACCAGAGTTATTCTAGGACTCAGCATATGAAGATTTGGTGAAGGAAAGAGAAAATTAGAATGAAAATTGCTTTTTAAATTGCCCAGAACTTCTAAATAGTTTCTCTTGCCAATTTTAACTGCAACGTGACAAAGCTTTTGCCTCATCATCCCCAACAAATTTATTACAAAAATACAAAACATATCCTAGTAAAAAATAGGGAACTGTTCAAACATTAATTCTCTTGCTGTGCGAGGTTCCATTCCCTTCATGTAAGGCAGAGAATTGAGACTGGCCAAAACTATACAGGATGATGATGACTTTAAGCAGTCTTTGCAAAGACCTTTGCTGGTGTTCTTTGTCAGAATCACAGGAATTAAAGAGAATCTATTACAACTTTGTTCCTTTGAAAACAGGGAGGTCCTTTTACTAGATAAACACATAGAATCGTAAAACCATAGAGTGGTTTGGGTTGAAAAGGACCTTAAAGATTATCCAGTTCCAACCCCCTTGCCATGGGCAGGGAGAGCTTCCACTAGACCAGGTTGCTCAGAGCTCCTCCAAGCTGGCCTTGGACACTGCCAGAGTTGGGGCATCTGTGCAGTGGTGAGCAACTCCAATGATTTTCAGTTCCACTGTAGTGCTTCCTGTTTGCCTTTGCGATGCTCAAGCACTCAGAGGGTAACTTAAGCAAGCAGAAGAGGAGGCATGGAATCTCTCTTATCTGCCATTCTCCCCCTTATGTCCATCATTGAGACACATATCCTTTCAGTAATTTTGGATCTCTGCTCCAGGTGCCCCAGAAGCAGTGATGGTTGTTTTCTAAAACTGTATTTAGATGGGTTTGACTTTCACTGCTTGGTATTTCAAACTTTTTGCTATTTGAACCACATCACTGTCTCATACAGTACTCCACCTGTAAGTTTTTGTGTAGCGTGCAATTATAATGTGACACTGTCAAGTTCCTTGCCTCCTTGAAATGGGAGGGAACAGTCAATTTTCAAGATTGACTTTCCAAGACATTTCCAAGCTCAAATGCTTTCCTGAAGAGTCTGAGGCAATAGCATCCCCTCATGCCTTCCTCACAGCTTTTTCTGCAGAAATGGCAGCAGGCTCCTGCTCTTTGGTAGAAGAGTTAAGCTTCCCTAATGACCTGGTTTTGGCTGGGAAGAAGTTAATTTTCTTCCCAGTATCTGTAATAGTGCTGTGTTTTGGATTTAGGATGAGAATAATGTTGATAACACACTGATGTTTTGGTTGTTGCTGAGCAGTGCATACACTAAGTTAAGGACTTTTCAGTTTCTCACACAAACCCACCAGTGAGTGGACTGAGGGTGCACGAGAAGTTGGGAGGGGACACAGCCTGTACAGCTGACCCTAACTGACCAAAGAGACATTCCATACCATATGGCATCATGCTCAGCATATAGAGCTGGGGGAAAGCTGGCTGGGGTGCACTGCTTGGGAACGGGCTGAGCATCGGTCAGCAGGTGGTGAGCAATTGCACTGTGCATTGCTTGTTTTGTATATTCTAATTAGTGGTGGTGGTGGTAGTAGTAGTAGTAGTAGTAGCAGTAGTAGTAGTAGTAGTAGTAGTAGTAGTACTTTCCCTTCCGTTTCTCTCGTATTAAACTGTCTTTATCTCAACCCATTAATTTTACTTTTTTCCCCCCAGTTCTCTCCCCCATCCTGCTGGGGGAGGGGAGGGCGATGGGAAGTGTGAGCCAGCGGCTGCGTGGTGTTTAGCTACCTGCCAGGTTAAACCACAACACCTAAGCAGCACACCTGTGCTCAGTGCACTTTGCTCCTTGTGTTTGTAAGTTTGTTTTGGCACTCCTCACTCCCACCATCTCCAGAGGGCTGCACAGAGCAGCGAGTGTAACACAGCTCCAGGGATGACATTTCCAGCCTGCAATGGGCTGCGGCAGCCATGACTTGCCAGTTTCATTCAAGTTTGGATTTCAAGATGATTTTCACAACCCCAAATACTAGACTCTGAGCTCATTACCCTGTTCCTGGAGCCAGGGCTGTAAGTTCAGGCCTAGAGTGCATACACCACGATTTGTTCTTTTGTATAAGGGCAGGGGGGAGGAAATGGAACTGATTTCATCAGCTCACTCTAACAGCGTATCTCAGCTGATTCAGAGACGCCAGAAGGTTTAGACATGATTGAAGAAAGCTGATGCTTAAACTCTCTTAACCTGTGACGTGATACTAGTGCCCACTTCTGATCTTTAAGATATGATAAGCCTGAAAGAAATAGTCCAGATCCTCTCAGGTAAATGATTCATTTCTTTATATAAGAGGAAAAAAAAGGAATCATTGCTATTGAGGGGTCTGAGGCCTGTGCATTAGTAAGACATAAACAATAATAATAATTAGCTTTCATTTCTGTGCCTTTATTTCCTAAACTCCCTGTTGTAATTTTACAGATGGGGAAACAGAGCAGAGGTAAGTGGAGTTCTACGAAGGCACAAGCCAGGACAGAGACGAAGCAAAAACCACACCCGGACAGTCAGTTGCTTTGGCAGCTGAGATTTCCCACTCCTCTCCTCAAACCCCTCATCCTACCGCAGCTGAAGAAGTGCTACCCCTTGGTTCTTGGAAATGGGCAGTTCGGATAGCACAGGAGTGAGAAGGCAAAGAGACAAACAGGGAAATAGTAAGAAAGAGAGAAAATGTAGTCCAAGAAGAGGTGAGAGAGACAGTAAATGAAACGCAATGCTTGGTGACATAGGTAAATGATTTGGAGATCATTAGGAGCAAAACAAACAGGGTAACCAGAAAGACAAAGTAATAAAAAGAAGATGAAATTGAAAAGGTTCTGCTCACAGAAAGATATTAGGAAAAGTAAATAAATAACGAGTTGATGTTTTTGAGGAGCTATCCTTTGTCAGCACAAACAGAAGGTCTGCCAAAAAGGCAGTGCCTGCAGAACAAGCCTAAATTATTATCTGATGTAACTTGTTATTTTCTTTAGAGTTGTGTTTGTGTAGTACTCCATGTGGTAAGTAAAGAGACTCCTTCTTAGGAATAAAGATTCTCAATCCAGTCAAGAATTAAATTTAGAAATGAAGGGCTCAAAAGGAAGCCATAAAAATAATAATGATAATTGCTATTATTTTATTAATTGCCATTATTTTACTACTTAAAAGATGGAGGGGGAAATGTTAGTTTTTATTAAAAATATTAACTAATTATTAACTTATATAATTTTATGATTTTTTAAAATATTATAAACCACCCCCATGGCCTTGATCCTTTTTTAAAATCCATCTCTCTATAATAAATGTTACAGTCTTTGAGATATTTGCCTAGGGTAAGATGAGCTTGAGCTTTTTTTATTTTCTTCCCCTCTCTAATTTTTCTTTAAGTGAGCACAATCAAGTAAGATTGTCCCTTTGAAAGTATCAAGGCCAATGCAAAATGCAGTTCTTTTGTATCCATTATAAATCCAGTTTAAAGCTGCTTCATTATAACATAATTAATGTACTTAATTTAAGATCCCTCTGAATGCTCCTTCATCTCCTTGTTTAATAATCTGCTATGCTTGCATGTCTGAACCTTGTCTGGTCCTGGCTTCTCCCATTCCTAATCAGCTCTTACGTGGTCAGCAGGAATTATGCTCTCAACAGCTCCTCTTGCTTAATATGATCACAGTTCAGTCTATGGGTTTGTGTAACAGGCAATCGTTCTATTTGTTCATATGTGACCTCCTTTACTTTTAATTTTGGATCTCCACGAGCAAGAAAGAATCGTCTATTGTCTTACAAGCCAGGCAAAGTGAACAGGCTGAGTCAGTCCAGGAATATTCAAGCCTCCCCATCTGTGGTATTGCAGAATTCCAGGGCAATTCCACCAGTTGGTGGAGCTTCTGTCTGGGAAAACAGAGCTATTGTGAACAAAGCATACTGTGCATATTTCTAACATTCATAAAAGACTGGGTTTGAATCATTTGAATCTTTCTCAAAATTTCTTCCTTTGGGGCAAAAATTTCCAATGCATGGCCTCAATCCAGTTATAGTCATTTGGAAAATCTGAGCATAAACCACACGACCATTTCTTCAACTAGTTGTGAAAAGATAAACTTTTTGACTGTAAAAGTGTGACAGCAGGCTAGATTAGATTGAGACTTAATTTAGTCAAGACTACGACTCAGTTTTGGCAGGGGGTAGGCTAAGATATACCTTCTCCTCTTCCCCATCATGACCTCTATTTGACAAGGACAATTTTCAAGCAAAGGAGGTGGAATAAGTTCCTCTTTCAGTTTGGAAATACAGCAGTGATAAACTGGGTGTCCTGACAACCTGTTGTAGCACGCTACCTCACATCTAGAAACTTGTTGGCCTAACCATGTAAGGCAGCTGAGGCAGAGCTGCTGTTCTGGGCTATCAAACTCAGCTAAGTGTCATTTTGACCAGGATCACATCCTGTTTTCAAGATTTTAATCGCCCTGATCAGCGCCAGAAACTGTTACATTTATTTTCTGAATTTTCCTCTGAAGAGCAGGATTCTGACTCAGACCTAAATCCAATGATGTTTTAGGATGACCAACTTAAAAACTGCAGTGTATTTTATAGTGTCCCATCCCCACAAATTCAGAAATCCAAATTAATCATCTAACTCTTTACATGCTTGCAGGGTGAGAAAAGGATACGAAACAGACTTACTGCAACAAGTTGGTACGGGCTATATCCCAAATCCCACCCCTATGGAGCAAGGATATATAGGTTAGGACTGCAGGAAATCTCAGGGTATTAGAACCCTACCTTGAAGATGCTCACCTGTGAGCTTTTTCAAAGACAGACCTGGAAGGAGGTGGATACTATCTTCTGTTGGCTCTGTAGCTTTTTCAGTTACACCACTTCCTAGAAAACAGAAGAACTGTGATTCAGCTCCTTTCTCCCCTTTAGGAGACTCATATCCACGTTGACCTTTATGTGAGAGAATGGCCTCATCACCAGGTTATTGGTTGCCTAGGAAGGTATGGAGGGGAAAAGGAGCTTTTACATAGAAATTGTGCTCAGTCAGGCAAGAAAGTTCGCTTAAGGCCATGATAGTATTTTTATACTATAAGTGTGTAATATAAAATAACACAAGCCATACTTGGAGCAGGAATGGATAAGCAGATCTCCTCCATCCCAGCAGACAGCCTGAAGCACTAGACTACAGCGCTTGCACACAAACCTGAAAGTGGCTTCACCACTTCAAACAGGTGGGTGAGATACCACCCAGAAGGACGCAGGGATTACAGCAATCTCCTGGGAGGTGGGGAATGTAGGTTGAGTTTCCCCATCCCCACCCTCACCCCCTGCCCCAGACAAACTATGTGAATGGATGTTCTATTTTCTGTGCAAGTGCTGAAACTACTGAGCTATTGTATAATTTGGATGCACCAACTGACTCCTCTTTTGGGTTTTTCCTAGAAGGTGGCATTTAGGCAGAGGAACAGTTGGTTTCTACACCCTGGAGGAAGATAGGAAATTTTATAAAGAAAACCCCCAGGGGATACTCTTTGCATAGGAAGTTAGACTAGGTGTCATTTTTGTGGCACTACTGAATCTATCATAGAATGATTTGGGTTGGAAGGGACCCTAAAGATCATCTAGTTCCAACCCCTGTGTCATAGGCAGGAAACCTTCCACTAGATCAGATTGCTCAAAGCCCCATCCAGCCTAGTCTCAAATATCTTCAGGGATGGGGAGTTCACAACCTCTCTGGGCAACCTATTCCAGTGCCTTGGCATCTTCACAGTAAAGAATTTCTTCTAATCTCAACCTGCCCTTCTGCAGCTTAAGGCCATTCCCCCATGTCCTATCACTGTCCAATTTAGGTGCCTTCAGATAGATGGCAGCTGATCAGGATTTCTGGATTGCGTTTTTTGACTTGGGTGGGTATCCAGTGGTAAAAGCCTAAAACCAGTGATATTTTCATTGCCTTGACCCCAGAAATTTGCAGCCTAATGACTGGCCTGGACTGTACAAGTTCTGGTCTTGGGGAAGCCAACTGCAAATTCTGATAAGGAGTTGTCATCAAGTTAGTTGGCCATAAATGCAAATGCATGGGTGGGCACTGAAACCCCTCAGCCTCTCCACACTGTCTGCTCCCAGTGCCCCTGTGTAACCATCAGTCTCCCCAGCTCTGGCAGCACCCATCAAATGTCACTTGACAATCTTCCACACTTCCCGGAGCTTTATTTCTCCCAAGGCCTCCTTCACATTGCAGCAGGCTTCCCCCCCCCCTTTGTTGCAGTGCTCGGTTTTATTATCCTGAGTTATCCAGTAAGCCCCGGGAGCGACATCCGCTGGCCCTCACTCCTGCACCATCGCCTCCAGCGAATCAGCGAATCAAGCTGTGTACGCATCAGTTAGACAATTTGCCTTGTGTTGTTCCTGGCCCCTTATCTCTCCCTCCGCTTCGGTGTTTATGCTTAATAATTGGGAGTTCCTTGCACGAAGAACTTCCTTTTCGCCGCTTGGGAAGCACACGGCATATAGTGAGTGACCTCTTGCGTCACAAACAACTGCAGGACAGCAGACCGTGCTCTCCCCAGAGGGAACTGCTGCCTGGCTGAGCGCCGCTGCCGCTGAGCGCCCGGCTCCCTGCGCAACACCCGCATCTCCCCGAAGCGCGCAGCGCTCTCAACGCCACTTTCTAATCATTTTCTCCAAATATCCCGTTTCCTGTGTAGCAGTTCTTTAAATAGCGCCTCGAAGATTATTTTAAAGGCTTTCAAAACACTCTTGCCACCGGTTTTGGGTTTGGAGTGGGTTTTGTTGGCTGGGTTTTTTTTTTTAGCCTTCTCGCATGACGATATTTTCACGTCGTGGGAGACAGGAACAGCTCGAGGAAGCTGCGAAGTTGAACGGAGTACTCGGGGGAGGAAAAGCAGGAGGGGGGAGGCAATACTGTTTCTAGGACCGTCGACCTGGCACCGACGTTTTGTTCTCGCACGCGCTCTCAGTGAGGAGCTGCGAGTTTCAGGATGACGGTGGGGCTTTAATCCCCCTGGGAGTAGCCCGCTTGGAGGGGGGTGAGTGGCCCCGGAGGGCAGAGGCGCTCCGCGGAGTCCCTTTCCCAGCAGAGAGGCCGAGATGCAAAGGAGAAATGACAGCATGGAAAGCGGAGTATTTTTATCAGGGCCGGTGCCCGGGGTGAGCGGTGGGCGGAAAGTGCCACCCTCTCTCTCTCTCCCTTCTCTTGCCCTCAGCCGCCCACGCCGGCAGCGGCATCAAAGGGAATCTCCCTTGTCGCGGCATGTCAGCACCGAGGATGAGCGCACCGGCCCGTCATGGCATTTTCGCTTCTCCCGGCGCTTACTCAACAAGCGGGAGGGGAGGGAGGGCTGGTTTGGAGGGGGGGGCGGGGGGAGGACTCCCAACCAGCGCCGCTCCTGCCATGAGGTCACCGCGGCGCTATGCGCCGTGCCCGCCGCCGCCCCTGCTCCGCTCCGTTGCGTCAGGCAGGGGGTATCCCCGCCACGGCCGGCCGAGCGGGGCATCCCCGCCGCGGAAACACCCCGCGCGTCCCTCGCCGCCGGGGCGGGGGGGTGATCCTGCCTCCAGCTCCTCCGCCACCCTCCACCCCTCACCCCCCAGCCCCCCGCTACTCCACCGCAGCAGGCGCTTGGCCGCGGGTCGGGAATGTCAGCAGTGGTTCGCCGGGTGGGGCAGGCAGGGATGGGACGGGGATGGGATGCGATGGGATAACAGCACGCTGCACCGAGGTAATCGTCCCGAGCAGACCATGCGAAGGGGAAGCCCCGCCGCCAAACGCGGCCCGACACGCCTTTTTTAGGGGGGAGAGTGGGAGAAGAGAGTCAGGTCAGACGGCCTCCGACAGCGTCCAACAGCGGCTTTTCCTCTCCGGAGGGGCTGCCAGAGAGGTGTCCGGCTGCTTGTCGGGATCCCCCCCCCGTCCTCTGCCCCGCACTCCACCCCCTGCGCAGAGGAAGCCGGGCGGGGGCGTGGCCCCACGACAATGGGACTCGCCGGCGCTATAAATACCCGCCCGCATCTATATTTGGTTTGGCCGGATCACAACCCGGGAAGGAGGGGGGGAGTTGGGGGGGGGTGTGCCAAAAATAGCCCCGCGCGCCCGCCCGCCGCCGCCACTCAATGGGCCGCGGCCCCGCCCCCTCCCCCGCGCGCGATCCCGAGCGCCCCGCGCGGGGCCCGGCGGCGCTAAATTTAGCAGCGCCGCTTGCGTCAATGACGCGGCCGCCGTGCGTCAGCCCCGCCGCGCCCCGCCCCGCCGTGCGGGGCCCGCCGCGTCCTGTGCGTGGATTGGCCGCGGCGGCGGCACGAGGGTGGTGACGTGGGCGCGCGGGCCGGGCCCCGCCGGGGGCCAGCGGCGGCTGCCGGGGGAGCGCGGCCGCGCGGGGAGCCCGGCGGGATCCCCCGCGGGGGGAGCGGGGCCTGGCAGCGCCGTCGGCATCGCCGGCAGGCAGGAAGGGAAGGGAGGGAGGGGGGGACGCCCCGGAGCCCGCAAGGGGACGGCGAGCACCGCCTCGGGAAGAGGATCCCGGTCTCGGACGCGACCGCGGGTCCGCGGCGTCCGCCGAGTGCTGTGCCAGCCCCAGCTTCGCCTCCCGGGTTCCGCGGCTGTGCCGGTGGCGGGCTGGTGCATCGAGAGGCAAAGCGAAAGTGCCGCCGCCGCCGGTCGCTCCTCCTCGGGGCGGCGGGCACCTCGCCCGCCCCCGGTCCCCGTCCGTCGAGACAGCTCGCCTGGCGGAGCCCCTCCGTCCGAGGCACAGCCGCGGCACTGGCCGGCACGGCCGCGGTGACGGCCGCGGTGACAGCCGCGGTGACAGCCGCGGCCATCCCGGCTGCCGGCAGCGGGTGTAAACACGGCACCGGGCAAGGCGGCGGGGGGCCCATCAGCCCCAAGCCCGGTACCCCGGACAGGCACACACACAGACACACACAGACACAGATACACAGACTGACAGACACAGGCACACACGGGCGGGAGCCAGGACGCTCTCAGGGCCGCTCGCACGAGTGCCCGCTCTGTGAGCGGCGCCTCCCCGCAACCTGCTCCTTGCTCCTGCGCACTGGAAAGTTTCGAAAGAAAAGAAGGGGGGAGAAAAGGAAAAAAAAATGGTAGAAGAGGGGAAAATAGGCGGAAAGAAAGTAAGAAAAAAAAAGTAAAAAAAGAAAAAAACGGAAAAAGGTAAAAAGTGAAAAAAAGTGAAAGAAACCTTTAATAATTCATACTGAAACTGCAACTAAGTAACTAAGCAAAGCTCTTCTCATTTGAGCCACTTCAGTAAAGATATATTAACGGTGTTATTGTCATAATAATAATAATAATAATAATAATAATAATAATAATAAATATTTGGCTTGGGAGCGACTCGCCAGGCTGTGGCAGGCTGCCGGCCCCGAGGCGGCCGGCCGGCCGGCTAACCCCGTCCCGCTGCCGGCAGCTCTGCCGGCGGCTCCGCACCTCGGCGCGGCTGTGCGCGGCTGTGCAGGGCTCGGGCGGTGCGGCGGGAGCGCGGCGCACACACTGGGGGGGGGGGGGGGTCAGTAGCGTCAGGCTCCCATGGCGTCACTATTGACGTTTCGCATTCCAGCCGCTCTATGGAGAGGCCGCTAGGGCTCCTCTCACATAAATGACGTTCAGAGAGAGGGAGCGGGAGAGCAGCGCAGAGAGGCGCCTCCGTCCCCTCTCTCCGGCGCAGGCACACGCGCACCTCGGGGCACTCGCACCGGGACACGGGCACAGGTCCCGGCCCGGCTCCCGCCGCACACACACACAAAGGCACATCGCGGCGGCGGCGGCGTCGGCCGCTCGGCATCCCTCGCCCGCCCGCCTGTTCACTCCCTCCCTCCGCCCGGGGACGGGCTCCTGGCTCCTCAGGCT